ATGTATTTTTGGCTATTGCTACAAATATACCCCAGCGACTTAAGACTGCTTTTGTGCTCCAGGCTCACATTTTATTTAATATATATTATATATTAATTAATACTTTTAATTTCTTATTTTAATACATATATTTATATATTTAATTTAATATGTTTTAATATACATTTTATTTATATTATTTAACAGATATTAATACATTTATTTAATGTATATATTTTATATAATATTTAATATACATTTTATTTATATAAAATACATTTTTACTTTTACATTTAATATACTTTTTCTATGTAATAATGCATTTTATGTATTTAAGAATTTCTAATTTTGAATGTGTTTTTTTATTTATTGGTTTAATATTAATTTTAATATATATTTAAAGTAAATCCACTGCTTGAAAGACCTTTTCTTTTTCTTTTTTTTTCAATTTAATGCATGATATTTCCAAAGTTGATGAGTAATCATGAAAAAAATCATGTTCTCAATATTGACCAAAATAATTATGATCATGACTCTTACCATAATCGAGCAGCCCTACTTTATAATGCATTGTAATGCATTCATTTACTGAATATTGTTCCGTTTGTATTTCTGCAGCTGCAGTTGAAGGCGCATCCCAGGTCTCAATGACGGGACTCTTCAAGCAGATCATGAAGACCGAGGGCCCCACGGGTCTCTATCGGGGTCTGACCCCAAACTTCCTGAAGGTCATCCCGGCCGTCAGCATCAGCTACGTCGTGTACGAGCACATCAAGACGACATTAGGCGTGCAGTCAAGATGAGGCCTTGATGAACGGACATCTCAAGGTTTTTTAACCTTGAGGTGTGGAGGCCATCTCATTCTGTGAATGTGAGCGAGGACGATGACGGTCAACGAACATCTCATTATTTATTTAGTATTCTAAAATGGTAAAAAAAGAAGTTTGAGAGCTGAAATCAGGGACCAACGTTTTTCGATTTCATGTGACCATTGTGTGCATGTATTTCGTCATATACATGTAAAGTGCCACTGCGAGAAGGAATCAAGTGCTTGTTATGATCCAGTCGGGCAGTGCAATTCAATCAACACTACAAACCACTGTGAAATGCATTATTTCATGCTGATTGAAGTTGCACTGCTTGTTTTCTTACTAATGCTGCTTTATATTGACTAAAGTAATATATTTATACATCTGTATAACCAGATACTTATTTATGTTGTGGCATCCGAGAGTTTAATGAATGTGTTGCACAGTTGTTTTTCAGTAGTTCAGCTGCTGTCTAATTTAATCTTACTTGTGGTTATTTTAAATCGGCACACTGATGTTCTTAGCTTTGCCTTAATATAATGTCTGGTTGATTTGAAAAGGAATGCACTTTAATTGCTTTAGTCAGTTGTGAATGTAATGCAATGCAATGACTGTAAATGTTGTCCGAGGGTGTGAGTGTTTTGTAATGGGGACCATATGTTCGAGTAATAAATTCACATGATATGCTTACTTGCAGTATTGGGGGTTTTGAGTACACTAATTTCAACATATAAATGCACAGGTTTGTGTTTGAGACTGTTCTGATGTGGTTTGTGAAAAGCCTCTATCCGGAGCAGATGTTCTTGGGAATTAATGATTCGAGAATGGCAGAGATTTTCATTGCAACAGCATTTATGTTTCAGAGTGGCTCTTATTTTAGTTTGGTTTTAGATTTTTTTTTTTTTTTTTTTTTTTTTTAAAAAAATCTTTTAAATTTAATTTTTTTT